CGCTCGCTCCAAATGAGTAGCAAACATGAGAGACGATTGGGAGCAAAACAACCGTTTAGTGGTCATTGTGCTACGACAAGCATTTGAATTTTAAAAAGAAAAGAAGAAAATATATACAAGACGAGAACGGAAAAATATGTATACAAAACAAGCCAGTGCTGCATTATATTGCAGTAACGAATTATTCATTTTGGTGCCAACGTAACACACAACGACTTTATAATCATCGTATTTGTTTGAATGTTTTCCTTAATGCTGTTTTTTTTATTTGGATTTTATTACACCCAAACGGCACATTGACTGCTATGGCATGTGTTGACAGATACTGATTGCAATTCGGGTTTGTGCACGGTGCTGAAAAACATACTCGCGGTAGTAAGCACCAGTCTTTTTATTTCTATGTTTTTCTCTTTCTCTTTCTCCCAACTCTCTTATGCTCTTCTTCACTAGCGCTATCGCGATCTAGCACAACCGCATGGAAAAAGGAGCAAAATCGCGTACTCTCTTCTTTCACTCTATCTCGCCATTATGAAACTACACAAATTGTAACATTAATTTTAACTGTCAATTTTGCCTGACGATACGTAATACAGTAGCAATGCATGCTACTCAAATCCGTTCATGACGGTGCAACGGAAAAATTGAAGAGGCTGAAAAACCGAGATATGGTAATGCATCCGTATCTCACACAACATTTCAATTGTCACGTCGCGTGAACAAACTTGTGTTCACTTTCGCTGTCTGGCATAGTTGTTAAGTGCAATTTTTCGTTCGACAAATCACAAACCGAAACACACATATTATACAATTTTGCTCTAGCTAAATGTCGGTGAACGGTATTTTTCTTTTCCAAGCTAATAAATTTCTGTCCAACTTTATTTCCACGTTTAATCGCACCAAAGTAAAACGAAATTAAAATTTAATAATCCGAATAAACAGTTAGCATCTTTCGTGCAAATATTTCCGCTTGATGATACAGTTTCTTTTTTATTCACGTGCACTGTGTTTTGGTCGGTTTTCCGTTAAGCCTTGTAAACCGCATCAAAGGCAATGTGGTTAAAGTAAGAGAGATAGATGCCAAAAATTGAAAATCCAACGAATTAAAAAATGTATGAAAATGTTAAAAACAACAACAAAGAATTGCAATTGTCGATCATAAAGAGTGCTTCCAGTTTAACACAACGGTGACAACCAAAAATCATCATGGAAAATGCAATAATAATGAACATTTTCATTTAACACTGAATTCTACATACACACATAACACACAACTAGCGTCAAAACCATACTCAATTTCTCATGCATTCGGGATTTTGAACATCTCCAACAAACATAGCATTTTATTTTTCACAAGCGCATGCCGTATTTCATGAGGTTTTATATGAAAATGGGCGAAAGTTTTATTTGGTGACTGGCAGGAATATGTCAATAAACTTGGTTCCGGCGGCTTGCAATTTTATTCAGTTTTGTTTCTCTCTCTCTCTCTTCTCATTGCTTTGATGTTACATAAAAACAGACACTAAAATGAGACGATTCATGTAACTTTTCGAATGGATACATGAAAGAGGACAAAAAAAGAGAGAGAGAGAGAGAGAGAATGTGTGTGTTCTGCACAGTAAATAAAATCGAAAATGCGGTGGTGGTCTCATTTAGTGTTTTAGTTGGTCGTATGTTTAGCCACAATAACGAATTTCTATTTCTGCAGCAACAACGACGATAGAAGAAAACGGCAGCAATAAGCGCAATGTACCTTATATGGTGCACACAGTAAAATGAGATCTGAATCATTTTCGTTTCGAACTTTCAATTGCGCGTTCGTAGTCACCAGCAAACATAGAATAAAAAGAGAAAGAGTGGCATGGATGTAGAGAGAGATAGAAATGAAAGAATGAGAAAGATGAAATGATACAAAAGAATAAAATCAACTGTATAAGTTGAAATCGTTTGCGGTAAAATGCTAAAAATATTTATCAAAATAAAGTTGAGTGCTCTCTGAAAATGCTATTTTTGAAAATGTTCCAACAAACAAAACCGTGTGTTCTATTAGACATACGACTTGCATAATATTGCCAAGAGATCGAGCGATAGAGAAATGTCTGTTTGTTTGTGCCTATCATCATTGCATGTAAATACCAAATTGTTGAAGACCAATGAACATAAGTGTGAAACTATTAAAAACGTGTTTATTTCGGCTGCTACATACAAACGCCCAAATTGAAACGTGCATTTCAAGCATAAAAATGTTCGTTTTGTATCCCATATAACGATAATAATAGTGCGCCAAGTAACAATATAAAAACCGTATCAAATAATCATTTGATGGGTATTTATTGCATCCAATTGCTGTGGAATGGCGAGTGATAATCCCAACATATGCTGACATATTTCAATTGGAGACCTTTTTTCCCCCCATGTAATGCGACAGCTCATGTCACATTATGGAAGGCATGAGCTTTATTCTTTGATCTAATATTACTTTCGTTCCTTGTTTCAAATGGCAATCCAAGGCTACTTTTAGTGTTTACACACATGCAAAGTCAATAAAAAGCCGGCACTAATGACTTGGCGTTTCGCTGCTTAGATTCGGTATTTGTTCAACTTATTTTCTGACATTTGATGAGACGTAGAATGGAAAAATTCCGTGCTATTTCAACAGCAAAATGATAACACACACACACATACAATTGTCATGAAGCCGACGTTTGAACGTGAGCAATAAAAAAATAATCAATATTTGGCCAATACGGCGTATATATACATATATAAATGTGTTTGTTTGTGAGCAAACTCACTCTTTAACCTATCCCCGGTGCGATGGAAGAAGAAAAAAAAACATCAAAAGTAAATCCGTGCTAGCACATGAATCCATTCACGCGAAACGATTTAACGACACAAAACGCAAAACAATACCGAGCACGAATGTGAAACATACCGAAAAGAGAAAAAAACGCAAACCGAGTTTGATGCACTCATCACAAACGTTGAATTTACAAATTTCAATTCCATTCCATTGCCGTCGTCGTCACCATCGTTTCAGTGGAAAACTGTTGCCCGAATCGAAAAGAATCAACATGACTTGATATGAAATACCATACGGTACGATGTGTGTATGACTCGCCAAATATTGAAATGCACTTGTACAGTCGAGATTTAAATTTGAAGTTGAGTTGCGCTGGCCGTTGCTAAGCACAACAAACATTCAATTGCGTGACATCGAATAAATGAGCCACTATATTTTCAAAACTATTAGCGTTGCTTGCTCGTATTCGCTAATGCCATTGGTATGCAATTCGACGAGAGCAACAACAAAAAAAATAATAATGGGAAGGCAAACGACACACAAATACGACTTGCAAATTGAATTAGTTATTTATGATGAACACACACACATAAAGCACTGCAACAGTGAAATTGATAAAAAAAATCGATTTATTAATTCGAAATGGACGTTTTTTTTCTCATCTCTCAGTCAATGCACGCGTTACCGATTTTAAAATTGCGAATATAAATGAGCATTTAATTTCTAATTAATAGCTGATGTATCAAGCGAAAGAGAAAGAGAATCGAAATGAATTAAAAATGAGAGCAATAGACGAAAAAAATGTTAACGATAAAAAAACAGTGCCATTTTCCATTGCAAATTGGCCTCGGCTTCGGGAATGCACATGCATCATTGTCAGAACATATTACGTAATTGCATAAATGAAGAGTTCAGAGCAACAACAAAAAAAGAATCAAATTTGCCGTTAAACACGTGCTCAGTCGCAATCGCTCGTTCATACTCTATTTCAAATTCGCATTTTCGCTTTCGTTCTCTCTCGCCAGAGTCGACTGAATTGAGAGCCGTTTTTTCGTGCACCACTTGACATTTGAAACAAATGGTTTGAGCAGCGCGACGAAACACACACACAAAAAACGGAGCAAATACGTGCCGATGAACAAACAAAAATCAAGCTAAACGTACTAATATGCGAATATTTTAACACACAGCCCGCAGCATGCCGAAACATAAGCAACATTAAAAAAAAATCATGACAAAACTTTTCAATATTGCAGACTTTTGGTGCGTATGCACAAGTGTTGCGATCTCTTTTTTTTATTTAACTCGTATGGACTGTGATGCGCATCATGTTTTTTTTTGTGATTTCTGTTCGTTGTTGTGGCCTGTTGCAGTGTAAAATTTTTGGTCATGCCGGAAAAATGCGTATCTCACGTACAAGCCACTTTTCGAGCCCCGATGCGTTGTAAAATGCATTTTTATTTATTTATTTATTTCTTGATATATTTGGCGAACTGTGAAAAACCATTTAATTGAGGCACGTACATTCCTTTCGCTCCATTCAAGTTACAAGGACTCATACGGTGACCGAACAAACGTACAAAAATTAACCAATTTGGCACGCCGAACAAACCTAAATGAAGAAGTGAAAAAAATAAAAGATAACAACGTAGCGAAACGATCATTTATGCATTTAGTACGATGCAGTGAAATACATAGGTTGAAATATTTGCTGAATATTTGTGTTACCAAGAGCCGGTGCATTGTGTTCACAAATTCTTGATAAAAAAAAAACATTTTTCAGTACGTGATCGATCATATGAGAGCAAAGATTTTATACACAAAGTAAAAAATAACGTCGTTGCGGTTTGGTGTCGGTATGCACAGTATGCATTCTGTTGGTATCAAAGCAACGCATCTACTGTATGCGTACATATGCTCTAAGTTGTTGTTCGCCTATGCTATCATTCACCGTTTGTGTACGATGTTTGCGGCGATACATGTATGTAAACGCACGTCCGTACACTAGACAAACTGGCTATGAACCGCACACACACACATGGCGCTCGTTCACCTCAACGCTATCCACTTTCCATTCACTCAGTCATTCGCCAGATTGTTGTTCGGCTGTTTGGAGCGATAAAACATTCGCTGCTGCATAATTTTACGTGTATTCTTCATTGAATAAAAGTCGAAAATATTCATCACAATTCAAAATTACAAATGAGCTCAATTGATCATCACAGTTTTGATAGTCATTGTAGTTTTTATTCGAATAAACTCGTTTCTTTGTTTTCGTGAAATATTATCGGATTGACATATTTCCAATAGTGTTTTACACATTTTAAAGCGAAAAAATAAACACAAATCTGTTTATGTCATCCAAAGTGCGTTCAATTTGTGAAATTTGCAAGGAAAAATTGCAGTAAACGATTTTATTTTCGTCGATCAATTCAAATATGTGAGCTAAGCTCTTATCTCTGAGTTTAACTGAGTGTTTTTGAGAGACAATTTTATAAAACGAATGTATTTAGAACGAGTGATGTGATTAAAACTTTGTGTGTGTGTGTGACACAAAACTTTTCTTACCGGCGCCAGCCACACACACTCCATGTAGAACTTTTTTACTCGTATGCATTTTGTCCAATCCCAATGGAAAATACAATATAAATTTATCCAATTCGGCTGTAATCGAAAGTGTTTAGAGTGAGATTAATATTTTTTTGCTTGTGACAAGGACACTCTTAAAAAAGATTGAACTGATTAACTGAACGGAAAGAAAAGACATAAATAAATAAAAGGGATCGCACAATATCGAGATTCAAATGTGTAGTCGTGGTTTAAAATCGGTTAGTGTGTCACCATTTTGGATCTCAGCGGATTTTGTTCTGCACTGTTATCGTATGCTGTGAGAGTGGATCTAAATAAAACGATCCAAAAGAAAAGAGATATATAATATGCAAATTTCAAACGGGCTTAAGCTTATATGCATTGATTCATATTCTTCGCACAGCACAGTTCGCTTAAACGAAATTCCTTAAGGTACACAATATACACACCAAAGTCGCCCATTGTGTATTTTGTGACTTGGTTTAAACGAACAAGATAGTTCGATGTATGTTTGAATGAAAACGAGAATGAATTATTTAGTGAAGTTTTAGATCGTGCATAGCGGTTTACTTCGAAATTCGAAGGCGGTGAACGAAAACAAAAACAGAATTTGGTGTCGACAAAAAAAAACAAGATAGACATACTGACTTCAGTGGTTTGCACATTCTCATTCATTTTGCTGATTTCAAAACAAGAAGAAAAAATATCATTACATGGTCTTTTTTTCATTGATACATGGAATCGTGCGCATGCTTTGAATGATCATTCAAGAAAAAAATCGTTCAATGAACAACAAAAAACAAAGAATAATTTGAGAGTGTAAGAGACTATTTCATTTTACTTTTTGTATTTGAAACAAACGTAACAAAAAGACGACGGAATTTCACAGGCTGAAAACAAAATATTCAATTCGACATAGAGAGCCGCACTACAAATGGACCTTTTAAAACCACGGCAATAAAACACAATGTAACTTAATAATAGTAATTGGTTTCAAGCCAATTGACAGCGATAATTGTATGTTACCGTCGCAGACATTGTTAATGTTGTTTTCATCTTACTTCCAACAACGAAAATAAATCGATTGATTTTCGCGCATATCATGCGAATTAAATCTACGTGCACGACTTAATTTTTAAAGCCGACGAAAAAGAATCGAAAAGCTTGTTTACCTTTCGTATTTCATAATTATCAAGGAATTTGATTTGATTTGTTTTTTTTTATCACATCGGTTTTTTGTTGATTTGTAAAATGAATGTGGGTGTTACGTCATCATCACAACAATTTACATTCGAAAAAAAATTTGGTCGCTCTCACCCAAAACGTCGACATCGATAACAATAACAACAACAACAAAACTGACACATAATGTCAAGAGTGTGTTAATGTGACTAAGTTTCGGTAGTAAATAAATTTTGCGAACGGCGTAAAAAAACCTGAGCGTGTAAACAAATAAAAATTGAATTAAAACAGTTATTCGACATCGTGTGAAGTGATTTTGCTTTTTTTCGCTCTACGCGTATATAGTATATACATCAGAAAAAGGGCCACATACATTTACGGTTGGCTAATTTTGCATAAAGTACACCATTGACATTGAATGTAAAGCATTTGTGAATAGACTTGAACAAGGAAAAAAAGCACTTTATTTATGTGCAGATTCTGCCGGTATTTAATGTAAACAAAAGCTAAGGGCGCAAATTCGCGGAATTTCGACAAGGCAGCAACTAAAATTCGGCAAAATCTAGTGGATGTTTTAGAAACGGAATAAGAGCAAGAGTGCACGAATTATTAATATTTGGTTCGGGTTTTTTTTTAATTTCGTGGCCATAAATTGGTGGCGTCTATCAAAGTGGCATTACGTACTGAAGGTGTCGATCGCCCCCGTTGGGTGCGACAAGCAGTCATGGGTGTATTACGATGGCGTGATTTACCTGGTACGCGCAGCGCCACAGGAACCCTACGATCTCTATCTACGACCGAGGTAAACATAAGATTCTCATTTTTAAATCCATGGATTTTCCATTTTTCTCAATATTGAATTTATGTATTGAAAATACCGTTACGAACTACTACCGTCTTTAAACTTTAGTTTGATTGTACGACAACAAAGACTTGATGAAAAAATACCACATGAATTATGGCTTTATTATTCAAGACAAGAGGAAAAGATATCCATCAAATGCATTCACCTTTTGTACGCCTACGTTTTATTATGGCATGACAAAAGAAACTGCATACACAAATCTCAACGCGAATGGTAGGCTTGAATGGCAAGCCCAAAAACACTTATATGCATGTCTATTTTCTCTCTCTCTCTCTCTTTCGCTCTCACTCGCTTTCAATCTGTTTAATGCAATCAAAGAAATTAAGAGAAAAATAGACGCAGACGCATTCTCTTCCATCATCCAAAACGTGATGGGGGAGCGGAAAATGGTATATATATAAAAAAAATATTATTCGCTTTGTAATTTACGTACAACGTGCATGTCTCTTCTCGTTCTCTCATGAATTTTAATCGACAACACACTCAGCACTTTGCAAGCGAAGTGATTTTTCATGTGCACACAAACATATTTGCCATATTTTCATAAGCGCATGATCCCAGAAAAATTATTATACACCATAATAAATATTGGTAAGCAAGAAGCAAAAAACTGCTAGAGTTAATTTAACTGTAACTTCAACTAAATAGCAACATAACAATCTGCATCGACAAGAGACCGCTACATGAACAAACAATAATCAAGTGCGCTTGAATTTCACCAACAAATTCCGCGAAAGTAAAACAAAAAAAAAACGAAAAACAAAACTCAACAACAACGACGAACGAAAGAAAGAGCAAAAAAAAAATTGTAACTTCATTGCAAATCATTGTATGTACAAAACGTCAAAGGTTTCACGTACTAAATACGTAATATAAATAAATAGAAGAAATGTTTTGTGTGAACATTTTTTATTTTCAGAAAGAGCAGTAGAATCTTGACAGCAAGAACAAAAACGAATCCAAAATGAAAATTAGTCGAATGAAGGTTTTTTACTTTGCAATATGTTGTTTGTTGAAGACGCCGCCGATTCATATTAAAAATTGTGTGTATGTGTGTTTTTTTGTCGATGTGTTGTAATTCGTACAAAATACAAACATGTTCTTGTGTCGGCAATAAATTTTCTTAGAAAGAGTTTTCTCATGGATAGAAAAAAAGAAATGTGCGTACGGTAGAATCTAGTTAGTTATTTTATTTTTTAATGAGATTCTTTTAGTGTTTTGTTACACTGTTTTTTTTTTCACTTCTCTAACTTCAATTAAATGTAAATTTGCGTTTTACTCATGCCAAATGAGATCTGTCGAAAGATGTAGTAAGAGCAAGAGATACTACAAACGCACCGATCAAATGCAGCATGTACGCGCGATTAGCCGGGAGCAAAAATGCAACTCATTGCATATGGTTTTAATTGCACACAATTCCACCGTAAAAGGAAGTCTGTGTCTTTCTTGATCTCAAAATGATAACGACCTGCTAGTCGTGCTGTATGTCAAATCTCAAACAAAAAAGTCATTTCAATCAAGCGACAACATTTAATTCAATTTCAATTTGATGACGTAAATTTTCCATAGCCAGAAACGATAAAATGCAAAATCAAAATTCAATCGTGCATTCAAAACCAATTTGAATGCCATTATATGTATTGTTCCATATGACATAGATTGGTCTCAATAAATAAGAGTAAACGTACGAAAGAAAGAAAGAGCGAATGATTTCAAATTAATTGGATTGTGAGTGAATGTATGTGTGTGTTCGATTTGAGTGGCAAATAATTTGCCACTTCATCGACACAGGCGACATACATATAACCACATACACACACATGCAGCGACTCCATATTAATAAATTACCTGGAAACAATTCGACCATAATAATGCCACACATCTGCAGTTGCAATTGTATGTGAAATTGTTCGACTCGCGCTCTGTTCGGCCGGTGTGTATGTGTTTTTATTGAATTTCATTCGATTTGCATGAATGCATTTAAACTGATTTCGATTTTTAATTTCACATAATCCCGGAAAGTGAATTACCCATTGAAAAATAAAATTGATTTTATAAATACTAGACCGTATGAAAGAAACAACGAAACGGCCCGAACGGTGCCTGATGCTTTTTAATTTCGTTATTTTTACCGTGTGCAAATGACTTTTGCCAATCGATTGAATGCAAAATCAATCAACCTGATGAAACGATACATCTTGATTAATTAATCGAAGTGCAGTTGGAAATAATAAAAAATGCAAATAAATACCAAAGCAACAAAAAAATGTGATGGCATTTCATTTATGAGGCAGCCAGTCATTCAGCATCCATGCTTACGTTATCAGATGCAACATAAAACGTATTATTGCATAATTTTCTCTCGTTCGAGCATTATTCATTTTATATAGCCCATTATTTAAATCGAAATCGCAAAATGTTGTTGGCGGTCATGTGAAAATGGCATACAACTACTATCTATTGCTACTTCATCGTATTTGCAATACATATAAAACATTTTGAACAACGAACATAATTATCATCGTTGAATTCGTCGACAAGACCTCACCTCGAAACAGCATGCGTGTGTCATTTCAACATTGGTTATTAACTAATCATATGTGTGATTAACAAAAGGTTTTTTATGCTGATTCGTTGACTCTCGCTCTCTCTCTCTCTCTATCTCTCTCTCTCTGTGAATGTGAAGTTTTTTTTTCTCTCTATCTATTTGATGACATGAAAATTGCAATATTGAATTGTATTATTATGTTGGCGCGTTCGGTCATTTTGGAGTACGGTTGTCAAGTTCGCTTAGAGTCGATTTGAAACAAAGACCAATTTAATTTACACGATTTAGTTGTTTCGCATACGAGATATAGAATGCGAGATATAAACAAACCGCACATTCATTTCATTTGTTCATTTGACCAGTTGTTTATATACGTTCAGTTTCGCTAATTTTTGGTTTGTCACTTTTGCGATTTACCTCTGCGGCGATATCTATCTATGGTTCTCTAACATTTTCGGACAGACAGCTAGTAAATTGAATGAAAAATTCAACGCATTGCCACCAAATAATATATTGTGCACGGCAATTCAATTCTTTGATTTGACGTCAGATAAAAACACAAAATGTTTGTACCGTATTCTGAATTGCGTTGTGTGTATATATTATTTATATGGGAGTCTCGAGTGTATTTAATAATTAAGACTGGGTGTATAGCATGGCATTATCACGTTTGTCACTCTTTTTACTTTTTTTTTGAATTACGTGCACATATTTTCAGACTCGTTTGCACGTAACCTTGACGTAAGTTTATTTACATCTTGCAAAAGCTCAAAATAAGCGACGTTTTTTATTTTGAACTTACATTTTTTTTGTTTCGTAAAACCTATTTACTCGAGCGATTTCATTTGCAGATAAATATCCATACAATGAAACGTACCCAATTGCCAAGAGATTATGTTTGGAGTTGTAAAATCTAAAATGTTCGATAGTTGATCTTTTTTTTATTGAATATGGTCGCTTGTCAAATGTCGGCACACATTTGAAAATGGCAAATGGTAACATTTTGCAAACCGTCAATCCATTCCGACTGATTTTCTGCTGGAATAGATTTTTCTATCGACTGAAATGATGAAGAAAAAAAAACGATAGATCGATTTGGCGTGGCTAGTTTCATTTCTCTCGGACATTTAATTACTGTGTGTCTCTGTGGAAAATGCGACAATAAATCATATAACCAAATGGTGCCCAGCAAAAAACACACACACTATCTCTCTTATACATTGTCTGAAATAGATTGGCGCGGCATACATTAGACGCACACCGCTCTCTTTTTCATTTTTTTTTTTAAATTTGTGCAAAGTGTATAATTAATGCTGAAGTCATTTTTATGGAAATAGTCATAAACTAGAGGCAAAGCGAATGTTCACATTTTTCTTACTTCGTCACATCACTCTTCTATCTGCTTTGGTGTTTGTGTCTTCAGCTTTGCAATTGCGCCGCTTTGTTTAACGTTTAATTGCAGGTTTTTTAATGTCTCGCTTCCTCAATACCGAAGTAAACGAAACGACCGAGTATGTGTAACATTTTAGTTAGATTTAGTGTTAGATGTCGACAGAAATTAACAAAAGCATACCATCTATTTAATTTACTCTAGAGAAACGTACGAGATTTTCTCATAGAATTACGGCGATTGCGAATGACAAAGACAGAAAAGAAGAGAGAGAAAACGAGATAAAATTAATGTCTATTTGGCTTATGTTCACATTAGAACAAACACGTGGGATTATTCTTTTCCATAGTATATTTTATCTGTTCGTTTTAACAATTTATTTTTTTCCTTGGCTCTCACTTGCATTGTGAAGAAAAACATATTTTCAATTTGCTCTCTTTCTTCTTTATTTATTTCCTCATTTTAATTGCCACTCATCATTCTCTTAGGCAATCGGCTCAAACAATATTCACTATTTTTCTTTGTTTTTATTAAATCATGGTTTCGCTGGAAAGCATAAACAATAGACATTCAATGGAGCTGGGTGATCACTAGAAAAAGAGAAAAAAAAATGAAATAAAAATGTTAAACAATGAGCGAGAGAAAATGGCAAGCGGAAAAGATGTCGTGAACAAATTTTAAGTAAATATAATGTGTAAAGATGAGCCCACATTCATCTCATACACACATACAACAACAACAAAAAGATCGTGATTCTTGATAATCATGCACGATCAAAAGAAGAAAAATGAAAAATCGGCTCGCCATGCCGACAATTCAAAACCCTTTCACAAATTATAATAAAAGATCTGTTTTGTATAATTTGACGATTTTGCATACAAAAGAAATGCATGTGTGAGTGTGAGCGTGTGTGTTACATTAATAGCAAAATACACAGGCGATAATTATATTATGGTCTGATCAATGTACAGAAAAGAACTCTATTATTCTTCTTTGCAG